TATCAAACTTTGGATGACGAGCTATGATAGCGATAAGATACGCTCGACTGAGGTTGTCCTCAGCTGTTAAATTGTCAAGATGTAATTGAGCAAGGTGGGCATTGAGTGCATAGTAGAAACCAGTATCAGCTGTATATGCTTTAATCAAATAGAGAGGATCATCTTCCGTAAGTGCACGATCAAAATATTGTCTGATGGTGTCGATACCGTCAATGTCTTTTAACTCTTTCTCAATATAATGCCGTTTTATATGACGGATGAACTGATAAAACTTAGGATCTTTAACATACAGTTCCAGCTTTTTCCAGTATTCATGTGCTTGATAATCAGCATCATTTGTGGCTAGAATCCATTCAACCATTTCACAACAAAAACGTGTGTTTTTTCGACGAGTGATGATCAATTGTTTAATTTCATCTGTTTTTGCTTCTTGTAATGGTGTACAGTTATATTTGTTAATTATTGCATGATTTGCGCCTTTTTGTAGAAGCAGTTCAACGATTTCTTTATGACCTTTATAGGAAGCAATATGAAGTGCTGTTGAGCCATTCGGCTCAATTCTGCTGATGGCCGCCGATGTCATTGTTTTAAGAAGTTCTTTGACTAATTCAACGTTATTATTTCGACAAGCAATATAAAAAGGACTGATCGTAGTACTGGCTGGAACAGGCTCAGCTGTAGATAGAAGACGGTGAGAGAACGCATCTGTATAAGAAGATCAATCAGGTCTGACAACTTCTGATATCTAGGTATATAGAAACTAGTACGAGATCCTGGCCGTGTTTTCTCAATTTTTCTAGCCATAGGACTCTCTTACATGGTCAGCATCAGTCAACATATATGTTGTTCATCTTAAGGTCCTTGCAAGAAAGGTGTGATACAGTATATAAATGCAGAGAGTATCGAGCGCTCAGCAAGCATAGCCATGGACGTCTTAGTTCATTGCGGCTTAGTGAAAAATATATCTGACAGCTTCTGTTTACCTTTCATTTTGTCAGCTGACGTGGTAGCTGTAGGCTTTGGTACAATCGACGAGCTTTCTGCACTGGTTAAAGTAGCTGCAAAAGAAAACGTAATATATAATGCATCAAAACGTTTTTGATTATTTTTGGCATAGTCCTATTATACCAAGTCAGTTCTTTTTGTACTTCTGAATGTGCTCTTTCTCGTGGTCTGTAAAAAACTCTTTTAGTACAGATGGTGTGGAAAAAGCGAAAAACTGCAGCTTTTTGGTACTTGTCACTTGGGGGCACCTTCGCTGTACTCAAATTATTTTTCAGTAAATAAATGCAAGACAAGACATAAATATATAGGATGATAGAGAATCTCAAGCGCTATCAGAATATATAATTACTTTTATAACAAGCAATTTCTATAGTGATGATAAATTTAAAAAACAAATTGAAGAACTTTGTAACAAAATGCAGTCCGTAGGAATCTGACGATGAGGGGGCGGTCATTGCACTCCGCTTATTTTTCAGTAAATAAATGCAAGACAAGATATAAATATATAAGATGATAGAGAACTCCGAGTGCTTTCAGAATATATAATTATTTGTTTTAAAATGTATTTTTATAGTGACAATATATTAAAAAAATCGTGTGCAACTATTTTTTTCCGGGCGAATATATCAAAGACCTGACTCTCCACCTAGCTGTTTCCTGACCCGGTACATTTTCTACATTTGCAGTCAGTCCTAAGTGCAAAGGTAACTGAATATATATTAGACACATGCAGAAAATAGTAAGAATTTAATGTAAATCAACCATAACACTGGACTTTGTAGCATTTTTTGTCTGTAACTCAGTTTGATTATGTACTGAAACGTCGCAAAAGTATAGAGAAACCTTTAAAAAAGTGATGAAATAATACCAAGTGACTCACTCTCACATCCTACCACCCCTCCTTCGCAGTAATGAAATGCTATGGATGGAGAAAACTTAGTGAAGGATTTAATAGATTTATTCTCTCCAGTTTGTTATCTACCAGGATGCACTGAAATATGTTGTATGTGTTTGATTGCATTCTAACACCTACGAACGTCACATTAGTAGAAGGACTGACTGCATAAAAGTAGAAAATGTATCATGCCAGGAAATAGTTAGGTGGATGGTCATGCCTTTGATTATTGATCTGATAGCGTTTTGATATATAAATGCGGTTTTGTTCGATTATCAATGTAAATCAAATATGTTATGGACGTTCATTCGCTTCCCGAATAAGCGAATTTCCAAATTCATGAAGTATGCTAGAATTCTCGACGTTACTATTCCGAAATTAATTCCCGTACTGGGAGTTGTACAGCTACAGAAAAATATTTAGTTCCATATAGTTTGTGAAATAAAAGTGTTAAAAGAACATAGGTTTTCCCAAAATGGTCAGAGACAGAAAAACAGGCTAAATTGAAGGGAATCGTCATTGTTGCGCTAGATCAGCAACAGTTAAGCGCTTACAGCCGGTTGCGATGTTATTGTTGGTGTTACGGGTGTTCTGCTTGGGTACGATCGCTGTTTCAGTGTTATTCTTAAACTGTTCAAACGCTGTGTCGAACAACTCTTTTAGTAATACTACAATCAAGGCAGCCTGTAGTTAACAAAAAACAAACATATTATACCATAATTGCAACCCCAAATATAACCTAAACATACCGGTCGTTCCATTTTCATTGCGTAAAATCGGTGTTGATCATCCCTTGTATTGTAAATATATCCAAATGCTCGCGAATCTTTTGGATCGGTGACCACAAATGATATTCGTTCGATTTCATGGGAGATTATAAGTTTCTATATTATGTACAAGATCAATTAAGAAGATAGTCCAAGGAAATGCAACCCCTACTTTCGTCGATTCTTCGTACAATTTGACGCCAAGCAATGTTAAATTTATTTCAATTTTTTGTTTATGTTCACCTCTCGCATTAGCAAGGGCTTTAGCAACGGCTTTTAATTTAAACATCGAATCTAGACAAACTTTTTCATCGCGATCTTTTGGTACATCCTCAATACCTAAAAGAAAAAAACAACCAAGTGCTACTAGTGAATGGACGATTTTAACCCTGTCGACTGGAACAAAGTGAACTTTATCATAGATGTTTTGCCCAATAAGCAAAATGTCATGTATCTTACACTTACCAATTAGTTTTGCTTTAAATGATAAACCATCTTCATCAAATTTTGTTGAACCTGTAAAAGAATGAAAAATAGAAAAGGCTAAAAAAGAAAATTAAATCAAACTACCATTTGCCAATGATCTTTCTGGCCTATCATTATCGACAGTGGTAGTCTGGTCAGCATTTGTCATTTTTATATAACTACAAATTTATTCTAGGTGGGAAAGTGAGAAAATTCATCTGAACACACCCAAAATGATTTTAAGCGAACAAACAGCACTTTTTCTAAACAGAAAATGGAATTTTACAACTTGAGAACAGTGTGTTCACTTTAACACATTAATACAATGTAAAACGGTCAGGTAACGGTTGTTTTGTCATTTTTCTTTGTGTTTTGTGTGACTGTTAGAACAAGCAAGAATAAGATAAGAACTTTTGAAAGCAGAAGATTACAATAGAGCAAGGACAGTAGAGTATAAATATCTGCACCCCCTTAAGAAATAAAAGATTACACAATGCACCAACAGGTGAAACGTATGGAATGTTTTACTGATAGAATATCCATGTAGAAACTGCAAAAACATAAGTGGCCTAACGTAAAAAATGGTTTCAAAAGGAAATTCTACAAAATTTTGCATATCCTTCTAGAACAAAATATTACAAATATTTATATTAAATTTATATTATTTATATCATAAAATTTTGTATTAAAACAAACTATTCGCAACATTCTGCATTAGTCGAACTAATACAATACAGAATTTTGTAAATATGTTGTTCTGGAAGAATATGCAAAATTTTACAGAATGCGAAAAGATACCTCTACTCAAGCACATTCAGAAAAAGTGTTTTTCCAGCAAAAATACCAGAGGGTTTTCGTCTGTTTCAAAAGTGCTGGAGCCAAGGCAAAAACGGACTTTTCTAATAGCCCACGTCGAGTACATGCGAAATGTATGTCATCGCACGCCCTACAATCCCATGGAATGGTATAGCAAGTA